TTACCCGGATGACTGATAATTGGGCTCGTTCCAGTGCTCTTGTACAAAAAAACTTTTCCAACATTATTCTTGTGCATTCACACAAGTAATTTGCCTTTTAAAAATAAAATAAAATCAATCAGATGTATTGGTTATCTGCCTATTGAATTTAAGCCTCAATAGGTCAAAAAATAACATAAATAGTAAAACGGTATTAGTTAAATCAACACATGTATAATAATTATTTTATTTTTATTTTATTTTTATTTCTTAGTGGCCTTTTATACGAATATTAGGAATTCAGGAACCAGCTTCCACAGTCTTCTCTATTTTTAATGGTCTTGTACATATCATTGGTATTATAGAATTTAGAAAACGACTTCCAATCGGTGCACCCATGTATTGGGTATGGCATACATTTGCTGCAGTAAGTTGCTAACTCTTAGATTGATCTGATCATCTTTTATTTCTAGATGTTAATGTAATGAATTGAAATTCATTTTTTTAATGTATGAAGCATCGTTTTTATTATACTGATAGTTATTATGTAGGAATGATGGTCTAATTTGTTGCTTTTATGTTTTGTTTAGGTGGGTGTCCATGCATGGTTTTGGTCATCAGTTTTTCACACTAGAGATGTACTATTAACTGAGGTAAGTATTCTCCCATTGTGCCTGAAGTTTATGAAGCATTTACAAGATAATGTTAGGTGAAATGTTACAAGGGTCCGTTTCTGTATACGCATCTATCTATCAAACTCTTTTCTGACCAACGTTGTATCAGAATGCTAGTGAACGCTCTGTTGTGTAAACAGTAGTGAGTCAAATTTTTGGGTGTGTTCGAAAATACAATACATATATAATTTATGCTTTGTGAATATCCAAAAACGCTAGCAAAACAGCCAAAGATGAACAAATGAAATGTACGTTTTCTTTTGATTTTGTGATCATCTTACAATTCTCGTGAGATCATAGTTGCATATCACATCATTTGCATACCATAACAAAATTAACATACATTAACTCATTTTACCTGGTATGATTTGTTTGACACATTTTCTCATATATTCCATATATTGATGATATGTACTCCAGATTCTGTTTTGTATATATTCTTCATGTGTGATGTTACCATGACTACACCACTAGAAACTATATTATTATTTTATTGACAATATACTTGTTCTAATTCATACCGCAAAGTTGATGGAACATATCTTTCAAAGTACACGTATGTCATATCCTGTGATGTCATATCCTATGATGTAACATCCTGTGAGGCTGTACCATTTCACGACCAATATCATCATCTTTTATTAACAAATCTCTATTTCATCACAAATCATGTTTAAATACATATATTTTCTCCAAAAATTATTGTATAAAAAATATATACACCTCAAAACCATGTTTCATGCGTTTCATCATTTAATGGTAATAATCCTTTCACTTGACACTTACTTGAGTTTTTAGTCATTGAAGGGTTACCATGACAACCATTATTATACTCCTCATCATATGCACAAGTTTTACAGTTGTCAGATTCTTCATGTAAATTTATCCCTGTAGTTTCAAAGTTACGTTGGGCACAGTTATCAGATTTATTAAAAATTACTGTCTCATCTAATCCATTCCCTGCTTCATTAATTGTGCTATGAACTGGTTCATTGATTAAGATCTTGCTGTTAACTGGGTCCTTCAATTGAGGCTGGAAATCGTCCTTTAGATTTGACTCTTGTGTGCAGCTCTTTTTAATCGCGTTATGATGTTGATGACCTCTGCTACAAGTAGTTGTTGTTTGCCTATTCGTATTGTCAACTTGTGGACTCACCATGCTAGATATTTGATTTGTTGTGAAGGCTCTATTGCTAAGTTGTTCCGCTTTGCAACAACTAAATGCCTTGTTTAAATGACCTTCTGTATTGCTCACTCATAATGTTGTAAATGAATGGATTTGTCGCTGAGTTGATATAAAGAAAAAGCTCAAAAATATATAATACCGTCATGACAGTGGTTTCAGACATGTCTGATCCCATGCTGTAAGCTATAAATACAAACTGAAATATATGGTACGGAAGAACGCACACAAAGTAAATGATTGCTGTCACTAGTAGCATGCGTATAACGACAAGACGGCGTCTCTTATTTTTTTTTTGTAATATGTCTTCCTGCATTGTTAGACTTGCGGGCTGCCGACATGTTAATTCACGAATGATCAAAGTGTAAGTAATTAGAATTATGACAAAAGATATAAAAAACGGTATCGTTCTAACGCATGTGGAAACCGCCAACATTGTCAGACTTGGAATCCAGCAGTAACATACAGACGGGATAGTGAAGACGACAGCTGAACACCAAATCATTACTGTATGTTTCCGGAAGCGAGTCTTGCGTACGTCAAAATGTCTGCGTTTCAACGGTTGGCAGACCGCCATGTAACGTTCAATACTTAGTATTGATATTGTAAATGCCGAGGCAAACCAAGCTAAATATGCCGATACATTCCCACATAGGCACAAATAAGGATTGTAGTCGACATATTTGAGCGTAAGATGCATAGAGAAACTGAAAGACAGGAATAATACGTCCGCAACGCTGAGATTCAAAAGATAGTAATTCGTTGCTGTGTGCATACGAGGGACTGTTCTGAGTACATGCAGAAATGCAGCATTACCCAGAATGCCACATGTTGAAATTACGAGCAATGTTATCGAATACACAGTATTGTAGCTCAGTAACTCTTGCGTTGTTTCATTGTATGTTGCGTTGTTCTCTGTGCCTGTGCCCAACCAGATAATTT